TTTTTTTTGCCTCCTGGTAAATAGTTTTTGATTACCATGCACTCTGATATACTTTGTTTTAGGCTCGAATGCTCATCACAGAAGAAAACCTGATGACCATTATCATTAAGACTTTTATGGATCATTTGAGACATCGGGATGCCCAAGGCAGATTTCAGTTTGAACGATATACTGCTTTACAAGCCTTCAAGTTTAGGAGAGTTCAGAGCCTTATTTTAGATCTCAAGTAAGTTTTCATTCAGTTATTAAACCAGTTGCAACTTGTAAAATGTCAGCGTTTATCTTTGTATTCATTGCTGCTTTTATCTTGTTCAGGTACGTTTTAATTAGCAAACCAACTGAATGGTCAGATGAGCTGAGGCAGAAGTTCCTAGAAGGATTTGATGCCTTTTTGGAATTACTTAAATGTATGCAGGTATGTATAAACTGAAACCTTTTTCTTTTTCATCATCTTTCCTTTTTTTTTCCCCTTCCTTTTTCTTCCTTATTTATTTTTTTTAATAGGTGAGGCCTCTCTATGTTGCCCAGGCTGGAGTATAGTAGCTATTCACAGGCACAATCATAGCACACTTCAGCCTCAAACTCCTGGCTCAAGTGATCCTCCCACCTCAGCTTCTCAAGTAACTGGAACTACAGGTGGACAGCACCGTGCCCAGCTTCTATGTTTTTTGTTGTTTTTGTTCATTGAACTGAGCACCTTTCTGTCTGTGCATTTTTTTTCATTTGGGGCACGTTTCCAAAAGATCAATTTAGATGGTTGCATTTGGACCAGAAAGCTCCACTATAATTGGAGACTCTTAGAAAGGTGTAGAGCAAATGAGATTCCAGCAGAGGTTCTGGCATCTGCTGCTCTTTGTATTTGATAATTCTTTTGATTACCATTAATGTTCTTTCTTTAGAGGTTGTAAGTTCATTTTTTAGATAGGCTTGCTTGGAAGTATAGTCAAGTTAGTTGTTTGAGAAACTGCAGTTGTTTTGGGTGTTTTTTTTTTTTTTAATGTTTCTATATTTCTTTTTTCTCCTTGATGTGATATTTATATAGTACAGTGTAGAACTTTTTCCTCTGTCTAACTCTTTTTTTTTTGGAACCATCCCCATACATGAAACAGAATCTAGAAGTAGAAATCAACAGGTATACTTAACCAGTTTAATTGTAAGAAGATAGTGATATCTCTAAAAATCTGAGCAAGTACTATTAATATTATGATTCCTTTAGTAGCCATCTGGCTTTCTTAAGTAAAGGAATAATCAAGGTTGACATATCATTTTTAGAAAACATTCTAGTTCCTGGGTTGGGTGGCAGTTCATGGGTGTTTAGTTTATTATAATACTACTGTTTTTCATGTATCTATAAAAACGGTAGCTACTTTGATCATTTTGAATACTTAGTATTCTGTATTCTCTATTATTTAGTAAGTTCTGACATACCCAGGTAGTTAGGCCGGTTTCTTAAAAGTAATTTGTTTTATTAAAAGCTGTTTATCTTTTCCTTATTTTACTTTCTTTTGCTTTCTTTCAGGCACCGTGAAAACTTAACTTAGTTGTTTATTAGGCAATAATTATTAAAACTTAATTCTAATATAAAATATATTTATAAATTCTATAACATTTTTTAAAGCCTGCCAAATTTCTTTTAACAATTTTTTCTATAGACATAGAGCTAAAAAGGAATTTGAAGGATTATCGCATTGAAGTATTGAAGTATTTTTTAGTCTAAAAGAGATCTATAAGACTGCCTCTAAAATAATTCATTCTGGGCCAGGTGCGGTGGCTCACACCTGTAATCCTAGCACTCTGGGGGGCCGAGGCGGGC